CTGTTGGACTCTCTAAGGGAATGTCTTTAATGTTTGAAGGCTGATCTCCTCAAGGATTATTATGGATGGGACTCACCATCTCTTACTTACTGTGTTTTAGCTCCTTGGGGGAACAATTAGACTAAACCTGAATATTCTAAAACAATAAATATTCCAAAAATTGTTCGCAAAAGTTATTTCATACCTACTGCTTAATAATGTCATTTCCCATACTGCATGCCTTTCGTTGCAGTTGAGCCAATGCCTCTTCTATTCCTTTCTCTCTTCCCCTTTATTTTTAAAGGTTATGTTTAAAAATAAGTTATCAATTTACCAATTAAGAAAACCATTCACCAAAAGTTTGTGGAAAGTGAAAATGGATACAAGCATCCCATGTGGTTGCTTTAAATTCATATGTGCCTTCTTTTAAATGGTGGACCCTAAATAAGTTTGATGTCCGATTTCCATTGCCTTTTCTGCAGGCTCATTAAAAGTAAAGTTATGGACTTCTCTGAAACAAAGTATTCTACATTATTTATTTTTGTATTTACAGTGTCTAGCACATGCTTTCTACCTAGTAGGCATATTACAGGTATTTCTTGACTTGAACTTTTCAAAACTGAACTTGGAGTCTGACGACCTAATCTGTTCTAGTTCTCCTGCTCATTCGCTTAGACAAGTTACTTTGGTGCTCTAGGCCACCATTTCCACAACTCTAAAGTAAGGTCCCATCTAGTTCCAGAAAATCTGATGTCAGACATATAGTAGTAGATCCTTAATAATCATCTAATATTGATTGCTTAATAAAATTCACTTGCCGGATTATCTGTTGAGATGGAGTAAATCATTTTGCCAAGTATATCTATGTGTCATTTAATGACACTGCTTTTTTTCCCTTAGTATATGAAAACAATTTATATTTTTTCTCATTTCCAAATGTATCCTCTCTCTAGTATTCTTTATAGTTTGGCCACTTTTTCTTATTGAATGGAAAATATATAAAATATGAAAGAAATTGCCTGGATGTTTAAACTACTCCTTCATTTTATAGATGAGAAAACTGATGCTCTAAAAATTTGCTTAAAGCTATTTAATGGCAGAATTAGAACCCAAGAGTCATGACTTCCATTTGAGTATAATTTTCACCTCAGATATCTAAACATTGTTAGTAGTTCTCTAGATTAAGATTGGAGAAGAATTTATCAAAATAACTAAACTGAGGAGACAGGTAGGAAAGAAACTTTTTTTTATTCTCAAACACAAATTCATGGAGAATCATTTTTTTGCCTCATTTTCTGAATACAGTTGGAAAAAGATAAAATTTTTTAAGTTTAGTATATAAAAATATTCTGTGATGGATTCTCTTTTTCCTGAGAAATAAGAATGGAGAGAATAAAGAAAAATGATGGTTGACTAGTACCTAAGTAATATGTCACCATTTTTTCTTTGCCTTTTTTGTAAATACAGGAAGTGTTTACCTATTTAATAGCAACACAGTAGGTAGAAACAGATACTACTCTTTAGTTTAGATGAATGAATAACCAATATTCTTCACCGTCAAAATCCTTAAGTCCATTTGCAGTTGTTTTCTACTCATTTTTTTTCTCTTTACTGTTTCTGAAATGTTACAGTGGATGGCCTCAAACAATATTTGCATTGTTTAATCTAATGGCCTTTTTCTGTTTTTTTGTTTTGTTTTGTTTTTGTTTTTTATTTTATTTTTTATTGAGGTATTTACTATTGCTGGAAATACGTTTCCCTTTATTCCAGGTGTTTTATTTACTGTGCCTTTTACTCTCTTTACTAGTTCCTTTTCTTAACTGCTAATGATTCCGTATATGCTGCAAGATTTAGTATTGATCCCTAGCCTCAGATATAGTTTCAAAATTTATGAATTAATTATGTTTAATGGATTCGGCTATAAATTCTGTTCTATAAACATTTATTTGCCAAACACCATCTGAGATGCTGGGTTTACAAACACAAGTAAGATAATTCCTACCTTAAAGCAGCTTTCATCAGGGGGTGGGGGAAACACAAGCTGGTAATTATCGTGCAATGTAATAATACTGTAGGTAGCATAGTTTTTTTTTTTTTTAAATAGGAGCGCAGAGAAGACATCTTATACAGTGTAGAGGGCAGTTTGGGATGAGGAAATACGCCGTAGAAGAGGTGACGCTTGGATTTTAAAGAAGAAATGTAAGCCAGACTGTAGAGCAGCTTAGGGACATTCTAAGCAGTGGTTACAGTTTGAGCAAAACCGTGAAAGAAACACCATAAGGTAAAGCACAACTATGTTATATTTGGAGAGCTTAAAATAGGAAGCAAGGATTAATAGGAGTTGAAGCTTGAGGGGCCAGATCCAAAAATACACCATGTTAAAGAGCCAGCACTTAACTCCCTAGGCAGTAGGGAGCTTTTGACACATTTCTTGCTGGGAAAGGGATAGGGTCACATACCTATTTTATATAGGTTAGTCTAATATCTTTATAAAATACCGTTGTATTAGCTATCTGTAGATACATAATAAAGTACCCAAAAAACTAGTAGCTAAAATAATATACATTATTATCTTATACTTCCCGAGCATAGGTAACTATGTTGCCTGGCTCAAGGTCTCTCACAAGCTAGTATTCAAGGTAGCATCTGGGACTGCAGTTATTCCAAGGTTCGTTTGGGGGAGAATCTACTTCTGAGCTCACTCAAGTGGTTACTGACAGGATTATGTTCCTCGTGGGCTGTTGAACTGAGGGTCTGCCTAGTATCTCTCCAGAAGCATCCCTCAGTTTCTTGCCACACAGTCTTCCCTGTGGGACAGCTCACAACACAGCAGATATGTGGGAGCGAGTGAGAACAAAAGAGGAGGGTATACAAGACAGAAGCCAGAGTCTTTTCACTTAATCTTGACAGTGACATCTCATCACTTTTGCCATACCCTGTTCATTAGCAGCAAGTAACTAGGTCCTGAAATTCTACACAGGGCATGAATACCAGGTAGGGTAGGGTCATTGGGAGCCATTGTTGAAGCTGCCTGTTACATGGACTTGAGGAAATAAGACTAGAGCTGAAGGGACCACTTAGGAAGCTATTTATAATCACATGAAAAATATGGAGATTATTGTGGATATGTGTAGTACAATGAAGGAGAATGAATGGGGTCAAGGAATATTTAGGATATTAAATCATGAGAACTTGGGGATTTAAGGGGAAGAAGGAATTAAAGGTGACATCTAATTTTTCTTGGTTCTTAAGTCATTATTGACTAAAGAATATTTTTACTTGAATGTGACTGAAACTCCTGTCCACACTGGGCTTTCTATCCTCATTACTGCCATCTTCTCCATATTTTTAGTAAACTGTCCTTAACATTGCTCTCATTGTGTCTTTCATTAGATCCAGTTAGATACCAGTTATTTCTGTTTGCTTAAATTTCCTTTTTGTCTTTGTTCCTATGGTTACCCTCCTTATCCAAGTACTTATCACTATACACTTAAAGTATGAAGACAGTCTCCTCATTTCTTTCCTATGCCCTCTGCCTTTCTTCAGGCCAGAGTCTGAAACATTTGATGATCTGTATTTCTGTCATTCATTTAAGCAACAATTGGGACCACTTTATGACCAGCACTTTGCTAGACCTCCTTGGGAATATAATAGTGAGCCAGATAAGCATTGTCTCTATTCTTTTGGGTCTTTATTGATATTTCTCTCTCTCTTTCCTTTCCGTCTGTCAGAATACCACTAGTCCTTTTCTTATGAGACCTTCCTTGAAAGACAAACGTTCTTTTTTTTTTTTTTGAGACGGAGTTTCACTGTTGTTACCCAGACTGGAGTGCAATGGCACGATTTTGGCTCACCGCAACCTCCGCCTCCTGGGTTCAAGCAATTCTCCTGCCTCAGTCTCCCAAGTAGCTGGGACTACAGGGGCGCACCACCATGCCCAGCTAATTTTTGTATTTTTCGTAGAGACAGGGTTTCACCTTGTTGACCAGATGGTCTCGATCTCTCGACCTCGTGATCCACCCGCCTCGGCCTCCCAAAGTGCTGGGATTATAGGCGTGAGCCACCGCGCCCGGCCACGAATGTTCTTTTATCTTCATAACACACAGCTATTATCAGAAATTTTACTTTGAAAATTTTGAAATTCTATCAGTTTAAAAGTGAGCACTGATTGGAGCTATTAAGTGTAATGAAGCAGTTTCTGACCTCCCCTCTCAGCCTACTACAAGCAGTGGAATAGTGCATTACCACTCTGAATCATTGGAATCACATGGAGAGCTTTTTGGACATTCCCTCCAAGATTCTGATTCAATATGTCAGAAATGAAAACAAAATAAGACTGTAAGGTGAATTGAATATGTGCTAGATTAGAAAACCATTGCATTAGAGTCACCCTCACCATTCTACTATTAATTGTTTTGTGTACATTTAATCATCCAAATAGCCTAAAGCAGTAGTTTCAAAAACTAACTGAAGACTAGTTACATCAACACATGCAGACTTTTGGGCACCATCCCTAGAGGAGCTGAGTTCATTTCACTTAATCTGTGGTTATCATTAGGCTTCTGTATTTTTTAAATAATGAAATGTGACATTATTGGACAAATCGACTGTTGTATTTTTTTTTTTCCTGATCAGTGCTATTCGGATAAGTACATGTACATATTTGATAAATATTAAGGACCAGTTAGCATGGTAGGCTACGATTACTTTGGAAGGTTCAGACCATGTGGAGTCATATTTTAACTAACAGTTGAACATGTGATGGGTTTAGATGATATGATATTATTTCAGTTTTATAGCTTTACTTTTTCATACATGAATACATTTTCTCTGGCTCTTTTACTTTGGATACTTTACTGATCACATGGAAAATCTAAAACAATGACTGGTTGATTGTTTTTTCTCATATTATTCTGATAAGTCCTATTATTTTCTACCATAGGGAGGTAAATTATTGCTTTCTTGCAGGATGGGATTGTCAGAATATGGCTTTAATAAATTGTTGTATTCCTTTTCCTTAGTGTTATTCCTCTTTTAAGAGAATCTGTTGGAATATTAATGCAGAGAACTCCTCCCCTATTAGAAAATACTCTGCCTCAGTGCTATCACAGGGTGAGTTTCAAATATTCTGAACCATTGGATTTTATTCCGTTTTCAATCTCTTGATTTTAATCTTTTGCAAATATGGGTAACATGTGTGTATAATTGAGTATTTCTTCCAAGATTGAATGCTGACCGTGAAAATGTAATTTATACAAACCAGAATATAATTGTCGGAAAATACTGAACTTTACTAAAGAAAAGATGGTAGAAATTGTTCTCATCTAGAAACTGAGCAGTTTTTAAAAAAAAAAAAAAAAAATAGAATAGAATATATATAGCAGAGATGTAAGCATTTATTCAACATAGAGTTTTTGAGCTCCCACTCTACCAGATACTCTTCTAAAGTACTGGGGAGGTAATGGTAAACAAGACACACTATGCCTCTGTTTCATGGAACGTACACTCCAGTGGGGAAATACAGGTACTAAACAATAAGTAGATAAATAAGAATATATCAGTGATAATTGCTATAGTAGAAATAAAACAAAGTGATGTGATAGTGATAGATGGCTACCTTAGATTCACTAAGGAAGTTGTATTCAAGGAAATTGAAACCTTGATGGCAAAAGATCTAGCCATATGAAAATCCTGGAGAAGAATGTTCCAGACAAGAAAAATTGCTGATTTCCCCTGTGGCTGGATTTAATTCAGTGTTTCTGATAACAGAATAAAAAAGGCCATTGTGGCTGAAGCATATTAAATAAAGGAAAGAATGGCTTGAAAGGCTGGAGAGAATGGCAGGAGCAAGATCATTTAGGGTTTTGGATCCTACTAAGATTTAGATTTAATTCTAATTCAGTAGGAAGCATTGGAAAGCTTTTAGGCTATCGAAGTGTTACAAATCCCATGTTTTTAAGAGATTATCGTGTTTTCTATGCAAAGAACGTATTCTAGGAAGGATGAAAGCAAAGAAAACCAGTTATGAAGTTATTGTCCTCTAAGTGAAAAACAGTGGTGCTTAGACTACAGTTGTAGCAGTGAAGAACAAGATAAATATACATCGCGGATATGTTTTTGGAAGTGGATATTAGCAGAGGGGAGAGAAAGTGTTGGTTTATTACTTGGTAGATGGTAATGCCACCTACTGAGACTGAGGCCTTGTTGGTACAGATTTGAGGATGGAAAATCTCCCCAAATGAACAGTTCTATTCTGGATACGTTAAAATGGAAATGGCTACTAACTCCTAGGAGAAATGTTACTTAAATAGTTGGATATGAAAATCTTGAGGTTTTTGGGGACAGATTAGGACCAGAAAGAGTTATAAGTCATCAATATATGAATAGCATCTAAAACATCAAGATTGCATGTGATTACCTCAGTCAGGAGAAGTTCTAGTTTTTCTCTTTTAGCTCTGCTTTCAACTATAAATTTGGAGCACAGGTGAGAAAGCCAGGAAATGTAGTGGTTAGTAGGGTGCTAGAAAACCAAAAGGTATAGGATCACAGAGTTGAAGGAGGAGGAAGTAATTAACTGTGTTGAATATTTCTGTGGGGTCAAGGAGGGTAGGAACAAGAAGTGATTGTTGACTGGCTTCATGGACACCATTAATGACCTTGATAAGAGCAGTTTCATTGGAGTGTTGGAGAGGGGAGCATGATTTGAGTGGATTAAGGAGAAAATGAACTGGGGAAGTGACAGCTCCTTTAAGAAGTGTTGTTGAAGGGAGCAGAGAAATGAGTTGATAGTGGATATGGACGTAGTATCAGGAGAGAGGGTGTTTTTTTGTTTTCAAAGTAGGATGTTTTAGAACAGTATTACCACATAGAACTTTCCCCGATAATGGAAATGTTCTGTAATCTGCACTGTCCAATATGGAAGCCACAAACCACATGTGGCTAGTGTAACTGATTCTTTTGAACTTAATTTCCATTCATTTAAATAGTCACATGTGTTTAGTGACTTTTGTATTGCACAGCACAGTTCTAGAACGTGTGCGTTAACTGATGATAACAGTTCAACTGAGAGGAAGAAATTGTTATAGTACTAAAGGAGATTATTAAAGGAATGCCATCTTGAGAAGGTGAGAAAGGATAGAACCCAAAGCACACTGGAAGGATTAATTGTTGATAGTAGCAGGGATGCTATATCTTCTGAGGAATGCGGAAGTGCTGACATAGATGAGGGGCCACTGGTAGATTTAATGATAAAGAATAAGGGATTTTCTTTGTACTTCTGTTTTCTCTATAATTTATCAGGCAGTGTAATCCTGCAGAGACATCAGAAGGCTAGAGGAAAAAGGAGAAGGTATAAAATAATCTTTTGATACAGGGAAAATACATATTGCCCATTCAAAATTTGTGGTTATTATTTTAACATAGCATCCATCAGCATAATTGTTACTAATTGTTATACATAGTTTCTCTCTAAACTACAGAGGAAGTATCATCTTCCTTTCCCTAGATAAAATTGAGGCTCACCTTAAGTCCAAATGCTAGTGGCTGAATCAGGATTCTAATCCACATCACTCTGACTCTAAAAGTCATGTTCTTTCTACTATACCACACTGCCCTTTTCATCTGTAACTACACTTTCCTCCTGTTTTTTAATTTGGAAAATCAAGCCAGTTTCTACAGGAGTTATTCTTTAGTTCGTGTTTTAAGATAACCGCAATCATGTACTTGTACTGTTGCATATGGAAGTAGAAGATACCTTTTCAATTAAAATCAGTTTGATTCATTAACAGTGGACCATTCTATGAGGATGCCATGTAGAAAAATGTGGAGGGATATCTGGTTAAAATAGCTATGTTGTCAGAGTCCAAAAGGAGGAAGAAAAAGTACACTTTGATCTATTTCCCCCAGTAAAAGCAGCTTTTTAAAAAGGCACAGTAGGTATTATCTTTATTTCCCATCAGCTTCCCTGGAGTTTATAGAGAATAATGACTACATTCATCAAATTCTGATAAAAAATAAGTATTTTTGATAGGTACATTCACAGAGAAGCCTCCCTCTTTCTTTGTAAACTTCTGTAATTTTTATGAAAATCTTTTCACATTGAGCTTTTTTCTTTTAACTTCTGGTTAGTGATCTTAGTTCAGCTCCTCCAGATCATTGTAGAGATGCAGAACAATAGCAGGGATTTGGGTATCTGTATTTTTCCTGATCTTTAGGGAATACATCTAACGTTTCATCCTTATTTTTCTTATATTTTTGGTAGTTAACCTTTAATAAGTGAAGGAAGTGTCCTTCTAATAATTTTTTTTTCAAATCATAAATAGATTTTAAACTTTACTAAGTGATTGTTATTATAAATTTCCCTGTGGAGAACACTCTCAGGTATGTCCTGCAAGTTTTGACATATGTTCATTTGTGTTTCCCAAACACTTGTCGTGGTGCCTGTCACATAATGAGTACAGTATTATAATACAGTCACATAATAAGTATGTATTATTTATTCCAACACCCTCCTTTCCTCTTTCTAAACTGGAGGATAGTGTTCATGTTCACTGATATGATGCATAATAATTTAATTGGAAGAGGGGTAGTTAACTTGATTATGATGTCAATATCTCTTTTTTTGTATTTCAGGTACAGCAGTTGCAAGGAGTTTACAGTTTACAGGAACAGCACTTCTGGACTTTATGTTCTGATGTTTACGTTGGGACTTTGAAATTAGTAGTAGCACCTGATGCTGATGCCAGGTGGATTTTAAGCCAAACACATAATATTTTTACTCAGGTATATCTTTTTTTACTAACTTCTTTTAAGGGTCTTAAAATTTTTTGTAACTAGTAGTTTAAAAAATATTTACAAGGCCGAGGTAAGAGGATGGCTTGAGGCTAGGATTTCTAGACAAGTGTGGGCAACATAGTGAGACCCTGTCTCTACAAAACATAAAATTAGTTGGGCATGGTGACATGTACCTATAGTCCCAGCTGCTTGGGAGACTGAGGCCAGTGGGTTGCTAGAGCCCAAAAGTTTGCAGCTACAGTGAATTATGATCCAGTTGCACTCCAGCCTGGGCCACAGAGCATGACCCTGCCTCAAAAAATAATAATAATTGCTATTTATTGTAATAAATTTATATACTACTAAACTATAAGCTAAGCATAAAACCATGTTTTTTTTCCCAACCACAGAGTCAAGTTTGGTAAATACTTTAGTTAATATTCTTCAGGAATAGGAAGATAGTTCCTATTTACCCATCATTGTACTTGTTTGAGTTCCTTCAAGAAAAAGGAGTTCCTTTACTGCACATTTCTGATATGTTAGATGCTGTTTGAAGCCAAGAATTCTAAAAAAGTGTTTGGAATAAGAACAGTATGTTGCCAGTGGCTTTAGCTAAAAGTAAACTGTTAACTTTTTTGTGTGACAGCAAAACCATGGTCACCTACTGTGTGATGCAATAACTTTATGTGCTGTTGAGTTTTTCTTAATAGTGCATTTAGAATCATGAATTAGTCAGTGCATGGTCTACATCCAAATTCTTTCAGTTCAGGATTAACATAGCTGTGTGACTGACAATCAAAGACTGATTACTATGGTATGTGTTGTGTATATTTTGGGAGAATAACATCATGTCAATAACATCTAAGAAAGCTGTAGAGAGAATATAAATTCTTTTCAGTATAGATTGTTCGAAACGTTAGGAACAAAACCTAGACATTGATACCACTGTCAGAATCATCTAACACAGCAGTCCCCAACCATTTTGGCACCAGGGACTGGTTTCATGGAAGACAATTTTTCCATGAACGAGGGTTGGGAGTAGTGGTGGGAGGGATAGTTTTGGGATTAAACTGTTCTACCTCAGATCATTAAGCATTAGATTCTCATAAAAAGTGCACAGCCTAGATCCCTCACATGTGCAGTTCGCAATAGGGTTCATGCTGCTGTGAGAATCGAATGTCACAGTTCACCCATTACTCACCACTGTGAGTGGCCTGGTTCCCAACAAGCCATGGACCAGTACTGGCCCATGGTCCAGGGGTTAGGGATCCCTGATCTAACACATAGATCTAATGAAGAAACAGGTTCCATGTTAAAAAATCTGTGGTTGAAACTGACATTATGTACCTCCTGATGTGATACCTTGGGGAATATTGAACATGACCTTTGTGTTACTCCTATCAAAAACGTTTAACTTGAATCTGATCATGAGCAAATATCCAGACAAATACAGCTTGTGAGAACCTCCCTAAGACTGTTAACTTGGATTCTTTTAAAAAGTGCCAGTGTCATGAAAGGAGAAAAAGGTAGGGGATAATTCTATATTAGAGGAGACTTCACAATTAAATACGATGTGTGGTTCTTGATTGGATCTTGGACTAGGGGATAAAAAGCAACCACTGAAGGAAAGTATTGGATAATCAAAGAAATTTGAACATAGACTGCAGTAATTCATTTAATTGTATAGGTGGTTCAGTTTCTTGGATGCGATAATGGTACTGTGTTTATAGAAGAATGTTCTTAATTCTTAGGAGATACATGTTGAAGGATTTAATAGCAAAGTAGCCAGATGTTTAATTTTCAAATATTTTGGCAAAAATAAAAAGATTACATATTAATATGTAGAGAGATAAAGCAAACTGGCATAATATTAACAGTTGGTGAATATAGGTGAAGGGTTTACAGCTATTTATTGTACTATTATTTTGACTTTAAAATTTTTCAAAATAGGCCAGGTGTGGTGGCTCACACCTGTAATCCCAGAGCTTTGGGAGGCCAAGGTGGGCAGATCACCTGAAGTCAGGAGTTCAAGGTCAGCCTGGCCAACGTGGTGAAAGCCCACGTCTACTAAAAATAAAAAAAAAATTAGCCGGCTGTGGTGGTGCATGCTTGTAATCCCAGCTACTCAGGAGGCTGAGGCAGGAGAATTGCCTGTTCCCAGGAGGTGGAGGTTGTGGTGAGCCGAGATTGCGCCATTGCACTCCAGCCTGTAGTGAAACTCCGTCTCAAAAAAAAAAAAAAAGTTTTTTTTTCCAAAATAAAAAGTTGAAAAATAAAAACGTTGGTGGCTCCTCATTGCCATCCAGGTAAAGCCCAGACATTCTAGCATGAACCAGCTGGTTTTTAAAGTCTCTCTCCTGCTTTTCATTGCCATGTACTTTATACTCCAAACCCACCAGACTGTTGACACTTCTGTGTGGGACAAAAATCCTACTCTAACTTAAAGATCCAATGCAATTGTTACTTTCTGTATGAAACCTTAAGCGTCCCACAAAGCAGTATTACTTTATCCTATGTCATATATATATTGTACAACTTGTGTGCAAGTTCCTACCAGCTGTCATGATTTTGCATCTCCCATGCTTAGAAGAGTATATGTGTATAATGACTTTGTTGTACAAATAGATTTTAAAAACTGTATTTGATTAAAGCCATCTTTATATATGCTAAATATGGAAAAATATTGTTGAGTTCTCATTGGTCTTTTTTAACCACAAGCACAGAAAGATCCTAATGAGATCTAGACTCTATGTTTCTGATAAAGAGAAATGTCTGGTTAGGTCCCTTTGGGAATAAATTAATGAAATAATCTTATGTATAATTAGGATTTACTCCAGTGCTAATCTTATGACGTGTAATCAAGACATAAACTACTGCAAAGCAATATGCTGATGCTGCTTATTTATTTCAGAATTCTAACAACTAGGTGTCTTTCTTAACAGACACTGTAAGTCTGTATCATTACGACTTTCATAATGAAGCATGCAAGACCTTCAGTGTGTCTGAATCCTTCTCACACCTTCTACATGTTTCAGGGACAAGATAACCAGGCTAGCAGTAGTGTTTCTTTTCACTGACATTTCCAGAGTATTTTTTCCTCCTTTACCCTGAATTTTCTACTAGATATGCCATGTCCTTTCACCCTCATAGTGTGAGCTGCTGTTGAGCGCTAGGACAACACCCCATCCTCTCCTAGGACTTTGGCACAATTTGCACTCTGAAAAGGAATGCAATTTCTAGTTTTAGAAATGTGCAAGCGTCTGTGTCCAGGCTGAGGACCTGCTGAAGTTGCCATTCAAGTAAGTGGAGGGAGGTTCTTCTGTAACCTTAGAAATGTTGGCTTTTAAAATGAAATTGAAAGTTTATTCAGCTTTTTCTTTGGTTTTGGAAACTGCATTTGAGCTTTGAATATTTTAAGCCTTTTATCAGCTAAGGTGAAGTCCACTTTGTTTAATTCCTTGCAGAGACCAGGGATTCTTTGAGGCTTGTAGTGAAGGTGGTTCAACACATTTTTCCTAGGGGAGAAGGGAGTCACCCTACTAATGACTTTCATTCTTGCATTTAATGATTTTAAATTGTCTTATGATTACTGTTTCAGTTCTGACATACATAAAACTGATATTTTTCATGAACTTATTTTTCTTTTCTGCATATATCCTAGTAATGCATGTCCTTATGCAATTAGTATATGCCAAGGATTTCAGGAGCATTTTTATTTCATGAAAGGAAATTTAAATTTAAAAAATTTTCTTTTTAATATTAAATTACATCTTATAACTTTTATTTATCAAAAATAACAAAACTCAAACTGCCCCCTCTTTGAGCACACAAAATATTTCTTATAGACTAATTTAAAATACTGGTGACCTTAGTTCCAAAGGACCAAAAGAAAGATTTTTTTCAATAATAAGTTATAGCTTTTGGTTTATTACATTTTTAGGTGTCTTTCTTACAACTGATCTTAAATTAGAATTTAAGTGATGGTTTTTGGTTAAAAATTGTTTTGTTAAAACTTTTATGAGGATAACTTTAAACTGAAGGGGCCAATATCTAAATTATAGCTTTCTATTTTGTTTATAAAACTATAGCTTTGTGACTATATCTTAAGCATCATGCTTTTAATCTCATTTTCCAGAGTTACCAATTAATCTTCAACTTCTCAAGAAGTTGGCTTGCTGTACATGAATATAGACTAATGCAAGTGCATTGCTGAAAGCCACTTCAGTACTGAGATTTTTTTGGGATTATTAAGTGACAATACAGTTTTTAAAGTACCAGCTTTTCTGCTGGCATAGAAAAAGTCCACTCCCTCTTTTTACCCTTGCAGTAATTTTTTTTTTGATGAGTTATTATTTGGGAAATGATAAAATAGAAATTTCAACTTTAGTGTTTATTGTACAAACGAAAAGAAAATGGGATACTAGATTAGGATGGCAATTAACATTTATGTTTTAAATTGACCAATAGTATTTGTTAATTTTTTTAAATAACATACTTCATAATCATAACTGTTATCCTAAAAGTTTTAATCTGCTTTTTTTGTTAGAAATAATGTTTGAACAAAACACATTAAAGAAACATCTAGAATATGTTTGAAGTAAAGTCTAGAATACGCTTGGAGTTTATTACAATTCTCAGTTCCACAAAACACAAAAGACGGTCTTGCCTAATACATAGTTACTCCTTGATAGAACTTCTACCTTTATTTCTTCCATCTTTTCTACTCTTCTGCCTTTCTCCCTTGTGCCTGATAAGTCCTAAGCACCCAGCTTCCTGCTTCAGCTTTTTGTGCTCTATTCTCTGGCCTCAAAATAGAAATTAACACTGATACTCAGGAAGGAACGAGAAAGCCTCCTCACAAGCCCAAATAAGAGTGCCCCAAGTTTGAGAAACTTTCTGCCCCCGTTAACTCTCCCGTTAATCCCTTCCTGTGGCTCATCTGACCTTACTCTGTCTGCTTGAGGCAGAGGTTAGGGAGTTAGAGAAAGTGGATTGCTACCCTTCTCCAGGTAGATTGCTGTTTTTTCTACCTTGCCTTTTTATTTTTTTTAACTTTGGATCAAGGGCTTTAATGTTTCCTCAGTATTGATTTTGCTTGCCTGCTCTGCAGTTTTTCCTTATCCATCTTCCCATTATCTCTCTTCATCATTTGTTCTTGAACTCCACCAGAATCTGACCTGAGGTTGGAGTGAATAACCCCAGGTTTATTGTTTTGAAGTAATCCACATGATTTCAATGTTCACTGGTGGGTAGTGGGCAAACAACAGCATCAGCAGCTAGCATTTATTGAGAGCTCATGTGCCAAGTACTGTGATAGGTACCTAACATTAAATGAGCCTCAAAAGACAATTTACAGAAAGGAAACTCACACTCAAGTTACTGTTCCTGACTTGTAATTTAGTCACATTTACTCATTATTTTGGTAACTCTGAAATGATTTAGGTTTCACAAGGAAGAGTAAGGCAATTTTTCAAGACTTCATTTTAAAGGGATAAAGATGAATATAAGTTCAGTCAAAACAATTGTCTGTAGTCATATTCCTATGTATTTCTCTAAATTTTTTACTTCTGATTTGTTATCCTTTCTACAACAATAAATATGGATTGAAGACATTCTAAGCCTATGGCACCAGGTTAACATTTATTTTCTTAGGAGCATAAAAGTGTTCAAAATAACTAGGTGTCTTCCCCATTTATAAAAATGCTGACTGAAGTATGGTTTGTATGTTATTCTCAGGACATGCAGTGAGTACTGTATGGTTTTCACATTTTGTTTTTGAGACGGAGTTTCGCTCCTTACCCAGGCTGGAGTGCAGTGGCGCGACCTCAGCTCACACAACCTCCGCCTCCTGGGTTCAAGCAATTGTCCTGCCTCAGCCTCCCGAGTAGCTGGGACTATAGGCACGCGCCACCATGCCCAGCTAATTTTTGTATTTTTAGTAGAGACGGGGTTTCACCATGTTGACCAGTATGGTCTTGATCTCTTGACCTCGTGATCCACCCACCTCGGCCTCCCAAAGTGCTGGGATTATAGGCGTGAGCCACCGCGTCCGGCCTGGTTTTTACAATTTAAGGACCTGTCGGCCAGTGTCTGGCTCCTGGTCCCACTCTGTGGGTAGAATTTATGATGGACCTGAGCAGTGTTTTCATCTGCTGGAGTGTCTGTCTGTCTTTGTGATATGAACAAATTATAGAAAACTTAGTTTGCATTCAGGGACTTACCATAGGATTCTTCCACTTTTCTCTTTGAAGGAAACTGGAAAAGGAAAATGTAAAACTTGAAGCTGTCCTCATTGGGCCAGATGGATGAAGCAAAATTACTTTCTTTTTTTCTGTTAGACTGAGCTTTTGTGGAAAGCTGTAAGCCCTCAGGGGGAGGATATCAGCTTGAGTAATTAACTCACGATTATGCAAAGATAATTTACCTAGCCTCTTTGTTTTTCCTCTTTCTTTTTTATTGCCTTGGGCTACTTCATTTTTTATTACCATCTTCTCTGGGTTAGGGCTAGGAGTAAGGAAAATGGCAGAGACAATAAAAGGAGCCCAACTTATTTTGCCCGTTTTACTTTCACTAACAATGTTGTTGAAAAAGAAAAGAAGTTAAGATAATTTATTTGAACAACATTTATTTCCTCTTATGGTTTGAGATATAAGACTTTTTAAAGAGTTCGTACGTATAGTCATTTCAGGTGTCATCTGGATAGTAAGATTATATAATTGTAATCAATCATAATAATTTGTAATAGCCTGTTATAAGTGCCTGGCGTATAGCAAGGATTATTGAATATCTGTCAAATATTGGATGAATATGTAACAATTGTATCAGATTAGTAGGGTTGGTGTTTATCAACACTTTTAAAATGAGAAATTTGAAGTTTGATTTTAATTTGTAGCTCAAGAACATTAGATACTAAATTCTGTCCTTTTTCTTAATCAATTATCTTAACTGAGGAGAGTATGCTATTAAATATACTTTTCTTAAATTTGAATAATGGAGAGCTTTAACTTTCCACAGGAAGATCTTTTATTAAAAAAAAATAAGATAAGCAACAGCAAATTAAAATACGTTCCTTGCGCTGGCAAGCTTCTAGAGTCTGTCAAGCTTTCTATCCATTAGAGTGGTTTCTGATTCCTTTCAAGCACTCAGTACAGAGCCCTCCTACCTGAATGCTAGAAAAAAAGCCAAGCTAGGAAACAGTGCTTGGACGAGTCCAGAAATGACTGTCAGAAGGTAGTGCTAATTCTTTCCCCACTCTGGTTTTTTCCTATTAAATATTCCAATTTACCTTTTTATTCTGCGGTACTGAGAAAAAAGGGGTTATTGTGACTGATGGGTTTCTTTAATTAAAAGTAGATTATTTGGGGTTAAAAGAAGGAAATTGGTAGAATTTCCTTTAATTAAACAAATAGTTATTGATCACTCAACTGTGTGCTGGTTCCCGGTTAAGGTTCTAAGAGTTAGCAATGTAGAAAAGAAGACCAAGTCCTTTATGTTGGAGAGATTATATTATAGTGAGAGGTCAACAATAAACAATAAACACCGTGAATAAGTTGTATAATACATCACAAAGTGGTAAGTGTATTGGGAATGCTGAGGCATTTACCAACTCCTGTGCCAAGCTTTATTTTTTCCTACAGCCTTTCGGTATTTCAATGTTCAGTGTTCAGATAGGAGGAAGAACCAGCAAAGGAGACTGAGAAAGACAAGTGAGGTAAAAGGGCAACCAGTGAATATTCTTTGGAAGCCAAAAGGGAAAAAAAAGGCTTAGTAGGTAGGAATGACCGTCTGTATTATTGCTGAAAGGTGAAGTAGGAAGGAGAGGCCTGAGAATTGGGTATTGATGTGAGCCCTGTAGAAGTGACCTGGACAAACAGTTTTGGGGAAGTGTTGGGAGGCAAATATTGGTTGAAATGAGTTCAAGAGAGAAGAGAGAAAAAGGTTTGTAGATAGCAAATATTAATAACTCTTTTGAGGCTTTTTGCTGTAGAGAAGAGCAGAGATTGGAAGCCCAGAAGCAGATGTAGGGTTAAGTAAAGGTTTTTTTGTTTTTGTTTTAAATAGATTTCAGGGATACAGGTGCCAGAATATATTTTGTTACAAGGATATATATATTGCATAGTAGTGAAGCTTGGGCTGTTAGTGCAACTATCACCTGAATAGTGTACATTGTACCCAAAAGGTAATTTCTCATGAGGTTTTTTCAAAGATAGAAACAGCTACAGTGTGTTTGTATGCTAATAGAAGTGATCCAGTTGAAAAGGAGTCAACTGATAATACAGAAGATACTGGGGACAATTTGGAGAGCAGTATCCTTGAGTAGCAAGTTCATATCCAAAACTGAAGAGAGGACTTGGAGTGCAAAATAATTCTAATAGATGGTTACAGTTGCTAAAATTGTTTACTAATCACTTATCAAAGGAGGATTTAGACAGGATTGACGTATGAATTTCAACTAGTAGCCAACCAGTCAAGCACCATGGTGTCCTCTAACCGTAATTATAGAAGGGGAACTGCATTTTTCTTAGTATCACCTGGAAATAAGACTGTCAACATGGCTCTTATTTATTTATTTATTATTTTATAGTGGTAAATGGAGATTCTTTTTTGTAGCTTATGAATATATTTGTTTCTTTCCTTTTTTTTTTTTTTAAAGTAAGATTTGAAAAAGAAAAGAATTACTTTCCTGAAATGTGTAGTGTATTATTGGCTTGTTTGATTTTCTAATTTTTTTTTTTTTAACTTTCCAGGCTGGAGTGAGGCAGCTGTATGTACAGATTGACTTTGCAGCCATGTAGTGAATGGAAAGAAATTATGCACCTTTTACGGACCAAATTTTTCTGGTACTGTACAATCCAAAACATTGTACCCAGCTTTTTAAAACAGAGAAGTTATCACTACAACTCCTGAGCACCAAGTACACTGGGTAGAGTCAGCCGTTAATGCGCTGTGGGGAGTTCACAGCTAAGGGGTCAGATTTAAGAGGATTATCTCCTGGACTTTTAGTCTTTTTTTTTTTTGTGCTCTTTCCTCCAAACCATTTTGACATCTGAGGTTTCTGGTTTAGGGTGTTGGTTTGTCCTTCTTTCTTTCTGTTTCTGTTTTTGTTTTTTTTGTTTGTTTTCCTATTGAATGCCCGCACCACCATTCTCTCATCCCAGCCAGTAAGAATTTCAGATTGTGGACCCCCAGTCTTCTGGAATGTCTTCACTGAAGCTGCTGGAAACCACTGCTTTCATTCCCAGAAAACCAGTATTACTTTTTTAAAAAAAATAAAGAAATTGGAAATCTGTTTTATACGTAATGTCACAATTGTTGACATTCTTCAGTATAATCATATGTTTATAAAATTGTTTGTACCTTGCAAACTTACAAACCAAACCATATTGGGTTTTCAAAGTGCCTTTGCATCAGAAAATGTATTTGCCAGCATCGAAATGTACCATCAAAGGTCATGTATTTTTTTTAATGGATATCCTGTAATCTGTATAAAACAAGACTATTGCTAGTAATGTAAACAGATTATCTTTCTGTGTACTTCCAGCATAGGTTTAGATATATGAACATTTTTCTTTTATTGTTTTATCTCATCAGAAAATAAAAGATGTTAATTTGATTTTTAAAACAAATTTAATTATCACATTTTAAATTACGTTGTGGGCTGTGTTTTCAAAACTTTGCAAATTCATCTGTTACAGAGAAAGCTGTTTTGACTTAAAACATCTGCTGAATTCCAAATTTCTGTAAAAGCAACTGTGTTTGTGATAAACTTTCCTATATCTTTCCTTGTCACTTTTATGGATTTTATAATGAAAAAAAGGCATTGGAGACTGAAGGCAGAAATGGTTGTGACAGTGCTGTTTGGCTTTTTCATTCTTCAAATGCCAAGTCATCCAGTTTGTTTTCCTGTTTGAGCTTTGCACAAATACAATCGCTTGCAGAAATCCTAAAGCAGCATTTTATCGAATTTGAATTATAAAAGGTACAGAGGAAATGTGGTGATGCAGAACTATTCCTAACACAAATATCTAAGAAGCAAGTACTAAGTTAATTTTCTAGGTTCTTATGTATTTGAAAAAATAAAATTGCAATTTGTGATAAGTGCTTGAGCACTCCCCTTAAGTATTCTCCGTGTTTATGAAGAGACAATGATCTGGGTAAATATTTTTCCATTAATTTTACAATATGTATTCCCTTTTAACTTTAAAAAATTGTAAATGTTGGAGGAAAAACTCTGCAGGATGGAAATGATAATTAAGAATGTAGATCCATAATAAGTAATTTATAGTGACATGGCAGAAATCCATATTGTTTCTAAGTTTAAGAGTGTCTTTTCTCCTATTTCTGACCTACAACTATGAACTATTCTGTATTAGGAGAACTAGACCACTTTCTTCATTCTTTTCTAAACTTCAGATTGCCATGAACTCTATCAATAGTCTCTTTTCTGCAGGCAAAATAGTATTTTCTAAACACGTTTGCTTTCTGCCAGGTGGTTCTAAAGCTATGATTTACTGCAGTAGTATGTGCTTAAAACAACTGTTGAGGTCTTTTAAGAGGGAAAGTCCAAAAGGAAGTGCCCTGATAACGGTACTGCTTTTTCATTACAAATGTAAGTAATCATTTAGAAGTTTGCAACCACCACCAAGTCTGAGAGAACTCTGGGATATTTTGTGGGTTTTGGCATATTAGAGAAAATGACAGATCTAGGTGAAGGGAAATTTTGGATGTGTGCCTTTAAAAACTGGTTATGTATAACTACTACTATTTCACATATGGAGATATTTGAAGACCCAAGTCTGCCTTTCATAGAGTCCTCCATTCCAAGTTAAGTTTTTGTCAAAATATGAATAATTTTATTTGACTGTACTATCAGTACACAGATGCATGAGTATGTTTATATAGTGTTAGACTGATGCAAAACTCTAATTTTGCATTTGTTACATGATATTGCCAGCTCATATCATTTAGCAAGTTGGCATTAACATTTATGCTTTAACTAAATGCCAGTATACCTATGTGTGCAGCAGTAAAAAATTAGAAAAAGCAACTTTTTTGTCACTCTTAGAAAATACTTTGTCTTATCAGTGTTCTTGGCATATGTGTATTACTAAAGTAGATAATTCCAATGAGAAATACTACCTGATTATTGTTATAAAATTAATTTACAATGTTCCTGATGTTGGACTAACTCTTACAAAAAAACAAAAACAAAAAACCATATCTGAGTGTAACTTTGCCAATATTTTAAAAGCCAAAATATTCTCTGGAGAACAAATTTTTATTGCTCATGGACAGTTTACCTTTCCTAGTAAACTTTCCCAAACAGAAATATATCTATACTAGCTTTGGTTTTTTGTTTTGTGAGTTTGTTTTGTTTTGAGTTTAGCTCTTGTTGCCCAGGCTGGAGTACAATGGCATGATCTCAGCTCACTGCAACCTCCACCTCCCAGGTTCAAGCGATTCTCCTGTCTCAGCCCCCAATAGCTGGGATTATAGGTGCGCCCCACCCTGCCCAGCTAATTTTTGTATTTTTAGTAGAGATGGAGTTTTACCATGTTGGCCAGCCTGGTCTCGAACTCCTGACTTGAGGCCATCCTCCTGCTTCAGCCTCCCTAAGTGCTGGGATTACAGGCATGAGCCACCATGCCCGGCCACTTGCTTTGGATTTTAAAATGTAGATTATATTCCTCAAGATGAAGGGCTTAACATATGCACAGCTTCCTCAGTTTGCTAACTCCCCATGCGTCTATGTGAAGGACAGTATCTAGTTTATCTGTAGGTCAGTGTTCCTTGTGCTGTCATTTCCCTTGTATCTGGAATGCGTCAGCATTCTTGAAAACCTACACATATATATCTAACCAAAATGCTATGGCTTTTTTGCACCTTTTTACAGCAGCCAAATAATGAACTCAAAATGTATTTGATCACGGTTCTCTATAATGTTTTTACCTACCTACCATGGAATAATCAGTTTTTACAGTGATTACTAATATGATAGAACCCTGATATGTAATGCCAAAAGTTAAGAATATTTACATTGCTTAACATAGAATTTTGCATCTAAGCAAGGACTAGCCTTAGAAGCAGTCTAGTTCTACCTCTCATTTTACAGACGAGAAAACTGAAGCCCAGAAAAGCTGTCATTAAGTCACAGAGATAATTAATGGCAAAGCCAAAAAGATTCAGATTTTCTGACTCAAAGTTGAGAGTTCTTTATGCTTTATTATGCTGCCTCTCCAGTGTAATATATTTGCCTTTCTGTAAATGGGATTAAATATGATTTGTAAATAAAGGACATCTGACCTCCTTTTTTGGTATATTAAGGCACTTTATAAATGGACTTTTAGTATCTCATGTTTCATATATGATTATTTCCATAATATTCTTTATGGAAGATGTTATAATTAATTTTAACCTTTTTATTCTTATAAAACCAGTTCCTGACATTTAAAAAAAATGATATCTGTACAGTGGTCCTTTTATGAGTGAATTTTTCTGTTAATTGCCCAAGGCTAAATCCAATTTAAGGATTACTTAGTTTCTTTATCTTGTTTATGTTCTCTGAACTGTTATGTTTTATAAACCAGGCTAATTCACAGGTCATATCATTTTAGTCTTGTCATGTTGGTTTTCAGCCATTGGAAAAGCTTTTGCATTTTATTTTGTTTTGTTTTGTTTTTTGAGACAGTTTCGCTCGTTACCCAGGCTGGAGTGCAATGGCGCGATCTCTGCTCACCGCAACCTCCGCCTCCTGGGTTCAGGCAATTCTCCTGCCTCAGCCTCCTGAGTAGCTGGGATTACAGGCATGTGCCACCATGCCCAGCTAATTTTTTGTATTTTTAGTAGAGACGGGGTTTCACCATGTTGACCAGGATGGTTTCGATCTCTTGACCTCGTGATCCACCCGCCTCGGCCTCCCAAAGTGCTGGGATTACAGGAGCTTTTGCATTTTAAAGAATTTTAGAGCCATGCAAAAGTTGGCGTTAAATGTTGCATAAAACAAATCTTTTAAGTAAGGTAAAATGTTGAAGCCTTAACCAGAATTCCAGATACGAAACTGCTGATTCTAACTCTTCATAAAAGCATTACCTTGGGAAAGTTAAACTTTTTTTCTTCCTTTTCATCACCATCTTTGAAAAAAAGTTTTCAGTTCATAAGAACTTTGATTAAAAATAAAGGAAATTATACTCCTTTTTTCCTTGAACATTCATTGGAAGGCTTATTGAAGACATGATCCCCCAGAAGCTTTAGTGATCCAGATCTCAACCAGAGACTCAAGACAGCCTCAAATACAGTGAAAGATTATGTAGCAAAAAAAAATTAAAGAAAAGGAGCAGAGGAGGACAGTTTGGTTTAAAGCCAAATGGATGTAAGTCTGACAAGGGTATCTTTTGTTTATGTTTAGCCATTTCCTAACTGCAAATTACACAGGAAGCAAGAATGGGAAATAACTTTTATTAAGTATTTATGTGCCAGGCGCTTAGTGTGGCCTTCATGTTATTATATTTAAATTTCTACAAAGGAATAATTTTGCATGATTTTATGATTGACAGAGCATTTGCAAACCTCCTCTAATTCTCATAACACCTCTGTCAGGAAGGAATTTTTATCCTTATTTTACAGATGAGGAAGCTGTTTGGGATAATTTAGGTGACTTGCTTACGGAATACAGCCAGTAGAAGAGCACTGATTAATCAGGTGCTGACACCTCTGCTTTGTGTGTCATTCAGCAGTGCTTCAAAGATCCAAGAAGTAGTAGCAGATCTCAATAGACTCTCCTACAAAATTAGCGAGCAATCACCATGACAAAATTGGTATGAGGAAACAGTTGTTATATTTTAGACTCATCCCTTCTTCCAATGCCCTTATGCTTATTTCCTACCTTTACCATTGATCTTAAACTATAGAGGGTAAAAAGAGGAACCAGAATTACTTTAAGCACTTTTAAGACTATTTGAAAAACAAAGTTTTGTTGGCACTGCAGAGTAAGTTGCTTAAGGGACTGAATCAAAAGATAGCATCCTCTGTGGCCATATGAGGAGAGAAACTGAACTACTCAAGAGAACTTAATTTCGTTTATTAGGAAATTATCTTCCCTAAAGGTACAAATATTTTGCACTGCAGGAGAGGGATAAGTAGATTTGATTTACACCACATTTTATATACACCTTTCAAAAGGAGGAAATGTTTCATAAGTAGTAATAATAATCAATGCCTAAACTTAACATTAAGTGTTGAACGCTTACAACAGCCTTGAGAATTATTTGTAATTTTGATCATGATGTTGGAAAGCTTGTAATAAAGAATATCTTTATCTTATATATCCTTTTATCCTCAAACCTAGCATGGATTTACATGCTCAGTAAATATTTGGTTAACTAGTAAACATTGTAGATAGCAGTGTCAAAAGTAAGGGTTACAGATAGGTAAAACCAGGAATTTGCTGTTTTTACAGAAGACATCTCAGCATTTTTTTTGCCATTTTTGCACCAATAAATGACTATTCACCTTGGCCATTTTTTTTTTCAAGTAGCCCTGTGAGCTGCTCCTTTTTCATATACAGTGGAAGGGTACAGATGTTATCCATTTTACAAATTGTTGGATTGGAATTTGACAGAACTGGGACTCAGAACCTGGGTCACTTGGATTTTCTATATTTTGTATGGCCAAATCAGGAGCCAGGCAGTCTCCATCATCCTGTTTTTATGGTACATCGCCCTATTCACAGATTTCATTTATCCCTGATGTATGGTCATCCAAAACTCTTTCAGAGGTACTTGAAGGTGCTTTAAAGACAACACTACATGTATTCATTAACTGATTTAAATTTGCCCAGAATTATTTTTTACCGTTTTTTTTCTTTTTTTCTCCTCAAACACAAAATTTTAGTTGCGCTCCTTTTCGTCACTGATTTTTCATCTGTTTTCATTGTTGTTTCCTGTATAGAACTTCGACTTTATACTAGTGGGGAAAAATTTTTTTATTTTGAGTTTTAGTATTTGAATATTGTTTATGTATCACACATTGTGCCTCAGTTAGCCTCAGTGTAGATTAGATTTTGAACTACACATCTCGTCGTGTCAACAGTTTGTCATTGCTTCCTTTAACAGCAATTCAGTGAAATTTTTTCCCAAGTGATATTTTCCCCCACTTTTGTGAGTTTGATAAGCCGAATGACTCTTTTGTATTGGAGATACTGTGAATGAAAAGTTGCCAAATCCCTTCTTAGTATATTTTAAACACCCCTACAACACTTTACCTCCCTGCCTTTAGTGGGGTTTAAACTTATGTCCAAGTTAGTATTTGGGTTTGATTCCTTAGGTGAAGATTATGGCATCAAAACATTTCTTAAAATGTTTGAGTACAAGGCTAGGTTATATGGCCAACTTTCAAAGACTATGTTGTGATTTGGTTTGAATATGCTGAAGTGAGCAATTGTGATTTGCCTAAGTGCAATACAACAAATCTATAATGTCTCACATTTCTACTTGAAGACATTCATGTAAATATTTTGTTAAACTTCATATGCATTTAAAAAGAATCATGAACTGTATCAAAATTCTTTCAATAAAATTTGTTTAAAAATTTCTACCTGAATTGTGTCTATCAGTTTGATGAACTGAAATGAACATTGTGAACCTTACAGTTATTGGAATAGATTCTAGAGAATGTAAGGGATGAAAGGCAAAGAATGATTCTTGGCGCCAAGAAATAGCAGAACTCATTAGGAGAGAAGAGAAACTAGGAGGTTGGAAATATTTTTACATTGTGAACAGCCTCATTGTGGCTGTTAGTCAGTATTTGACCTCATAAACATGTCTCAAACTATTTACTTCCAGATATTTCCATTAGCCCCAAATTGTTCTCTTATCACAGTTTCTATGGATGACTTCATCTTTTTTTTTTTTTTTTTTTGAGATGGAGTTTCGCTCTTGTGACCCAGGCTGGAGTGCAATGGCTCAATCTCGGCTCACCGCAACCTCCGCCTCCTGGGTTCAGGCAATTCTCCTGCCTCAGCCTCCCGAGTAGCTGGGATTACAGGCACGCGCCACCATGCCCAGCTAATTTTTTGTATCTTTAGTAGAGATGGGGTCTCACCATGTTGACCAAGATGGTCTCGATCTCTTGACCTCATGATCCACCCGCCTCGGCCTCCCAAAGTGCTGGGATTACAGGCGTGAGCCACCACGCCCGGCCGGATGACTTCATCTTATATGACATAAAGACCAAAGCATCAGATGTGAACCTCCATTATGATATCTTCCAAATTTTACCCGCTAATTAGAAGCAATTCCTTTTAAAATAACTTCTTCCATAATATCCCAGGCACCACTCATGCCACCTTCCTTCTCAAAGGTATTCTTACCAAAGCAGCCTCTTTATGATCAATCTCTGCCATACTTTAAGGGCCTTATCCTCAGCATGTCTGCTGTCAGATTCCTTATCTGTGGTCTACACTTGTTGCTTCTGCCTCCTTTCTAACCATTTCCATAGCTCCTAGCAGAATGGCTTCACTCCTCCCTGTTTTGTAGAAGTTGCTTAAAGGCCATCAGTGGCTTACTTCTTGTCACATTCGTGGCAGAACTACCAGCATATCAAATTCAAAACTGAGAGAAAACAAATCTTTCCCATTCAATTCTCTACCAATTTGTCGGAATTCTTCATAGAATTCTTAGAAAACTAAGCAATGCATTTATCACCTCCATTTCCTGAATCTCTTATCATAAAATGTCTTTCTTCCTTTGAAATCTTTCAAATTCTTTTCCGTCCCCACTCCCCTATTCCAGGATTTCACTGATGACTGCAAGCAGAATCACTTTCCTTGTCCAGATGTAGCCATCTCCATTTCAGCCCCCACCCAAACAATTCTGGCTTTGGCAGGGAGTACAAGGAATTTTTGCTGAATCCAACTTTTGTCCGGACTCTTTTGAAACATTTGTCCTGCCCTGGCTTCCTGAATGCCTCATGCTGACCCCTCTGCATCGTGCACTTTGACCTGCTAGATTGAGACTCCTAACCTATCCTGTGTTCTCTAGAATTAGCTTCGGGCCTAATTCTGCAGTGGCCTATCAACACTCCTTCAGAGCAGCCTCTCCTGTGTACATACTGGGTTGGAAGTTGTCTGTACAAACACCTGTGGGAAGGGAAGCCACCCTGTGTTACACTGGTCTTGCTTTCCCAGTTTTCACTTTCAGTCCTCTAGGTCAGGAATCTTGAGTAGTTCTCTAATGCTTATCAAGTATAAACTCTCCTGAACAACTTTGGAAACTCATATGCTTTTCTTTCCCTCATTATATCAAACCCTTGATATGGCACCAAACTTTTCATTAGTCTACAGCAAAAAGCAGCAGACAGGAATAAATAGGTTCAATAGATGTAGACAGAATGATGGCGATTTACTATTTATTTTTTTCCAAAAAAAAAAAAAAAACAAACCACATTTTAATGGGATTCTAGTTATTTAAAACATTGTCAGGTCACCCAGTTCTACTTTCAGACAAAAAAATCTACCATGAAATTCAGGCTTAGCATATACTACGAACACTTAAATGCACGATTCAAATTTATCTGCTAATGTTAACAGTAAGAAATGCATAGTCTGGCACAGTAGGCATGGCAATCAATTTATTGAAAAAAAAAAAAGGATGGATTTTGCTTTTTAATGTAGTTTAAAGTGATTCTGTGTGAATTGTTAAGTGAATGGTACTTTTTGTGAAAGAGCAACTGCTAAAGCTAAAGAGTAAAACAACACAAAGTCATTATAAAAAGTCTTTCCTGAAGGTATCCACTGAATAGTGTTTTTTAAATGTGGTATTTTTTAAGTAAACAAGACACTCAGATTCACATATAAGCAGGAACACTATTCATAGCATTCATAGCAATTAAGGCTTGGCTTGACCATTTGGCTTGGACTTTTGAGTGTATCATAGTCACTTATAAAATTACAAATAAAATAAGGTCCATCTGATTAGCTATCACTGTCTTCCCACCCCAGACAATAAGTTAGATCATAATGTTCAACTTTACAGGGTTTATTTGTTCTGTATGTTTATCATATTACTTTCCTCATGAGCAATAATTTGTGCACAGGTCGTGTTGGTTTCTACAGACTTCAAAAGAAGGCAGGGTTACTACATTTGTACTTACATTAGTTGGAAGGAAGACTTCCCTCTGGCTTCCAAAAGCTTCCCCCCAAGACAACCCTGTGGTGGTGGCCAGCAGCTATGGAAGCCCACAGAAACTAAAACTTTGAGAGAGGGGAATATTTCTGTTCGTAGAGCTATGGTTTCAAGAGTTCAGCAACCCTGCTACTTCTTTTCTCTCTCTGCTTCCTCCACATGGGTAAGAATGCAGGCCCAGTTATGAAGGTATGAAATAGCAAGAGTAGAGTAACTAGATCCTCAAATTTCTGGCCAAAGGACCAACCAAGAAAGGGAGCCCAGAGAATCAGGAAGTAGTGGAGAGATTATGGAATGGGAGGAAGCCAGGAAAGCAACCTCATAAAGTTGTTTATAAACCCCAAGGATCATCCTCAAATTACTGATGCTTGGATCTGATTCTACTTAGCCTTGAGAATCTTGAGAACTAAACTATCCAACAGACTAAAGTCCCAAACTGCATGCCACAAACTTGAGATAGATCCAAAGAGAACTGCAGTCTTTGAAAGTAACTTATACTGGAACCGTAGTCCATCAAGAGCAATCTAGAGGGCCGGGCACGGTGGCTCACGCCTGTAATCCCAGCACTTTGGGAGGCCGAGGTGGGTGGATCACGAGGTCAAGAGATCGAGACCATCCTGGTCGACATGGTGAAACCCCGTCTCTACTAAAAATACAAAAAATTAGCTGGGCATGGTGGCGTGTGCCTGTAATCGCAGCTGCTCAGGAGGCTGAGGCAGGAGAATTGCCTGAACCCAGGAGGCGGAGGTTGCGGTGAGCTGAGATCGCACCATTGCACTCCAGCCTGAGTAAACAGGAGCAAAACTCCGTCTCAAAAAAAAAAAAGCAATCTAGAATTGCATCCTAAACCTAACAGGTTGGTTGCCAGCTAAAACAAAAATATTGATACTCTCCATTAAATCTGAACAAGACCCAGCAACTCATAATATTCAAAATATCCAAGCTATAATGCAAAATTACTTGACGAAGTGCTATAAAAAATTTTAACTTAGGCCGGGCGTTGTGGCTCACGCCTGTAATCCTAGCACTTTGGGAGACCAAGGTGGGTGGATCACGAGATCAAGAGATCGAGACCATCCTGGTCAACCTGGTGAAACCCCATCTCTACTAAAAATACAAAAATTAGCTGGGCATGGTGGTGCGCACTTGTAGTCCAGGCTACTCGGGAGACTGAGAAAGGAGAACTGCTTGAACCCAGGAGGTGGAGGTTGCGGTGAGCCGAGATTGTGCCACTCACTGCACTCCAGCCTGGGTAACAAAAGCGAAACTCCATCTCAAAAAAAAAAAAAAAATTAACTTACAAAAGAAAAACAATCAATACATGCTGAAATGGAGATATCAATCTTGGAATTATCTAACAAAGACCTTAAAGCAGGCATTTAAAATGCTCTAACAAGCAATACAAAAATGCTATATAAAATGCTCAAACACCTACAGAAGAATACATGACAAATCACAAATAATCTTGCAACAAATGTTAAAATAAAAAGCACCAAATGGAAATTTTACAACAGTAACCAAAATTTTAAAAACATACAGAATGGACTCAACAGCAGCATGGAGAAGACAAAAGAGTCAATGAATTCATAGATGCATAAAAATTATCAGCCCCTGGCAACAGAGAAAACATACTGAAATAACAACAATGAACAGAGCTCAGGAAACCATTGGACAAATATAAATGTCTAACATTTATATTTATCAGAATTTCTCAAGGAGAGGATAAAGTATATAGTGCTGGAAGAAGATCTGAAGAAATAATGGCTGTAAACTTCCCAAGTTTGGTGACATAAACCTAGAGTCAAGAAGCTGGGCAAACCCCAAACAGAATACACCCCAAAATTTTACACACCATTTCAAACAATTTCAATCAAAATCTCACAAGCTCTTTTGTATATGTCAACAAGTTCATTCTAACATTTACATGAAAAGGCAAAGGAACTAGAATAGCTAAAATAATTTTGAATAAAGGTTAAAGGAATCACACCACCTTTTTAAAAATTTACCATAAATCTAAAGTAATTAAGACAGCATAGTATCATAGAAGGGAGAGACACACAGATCAATAGAATGGAAGAGTTCAGAAAGAGATCTATATAAATATGGCTTAATGATTTTTACAATGGTGCAGGAAACAATTCAATGGAAGAACCGTCTTCTTATCAAGATACTGTAACTAAACATCTACATGCAAAAAGAAAAAAAAAAAAGAACGTGGACCTAAAACTCACGTTTCATACAAATACCAAGTCTATGTGTTGAATATGGTGATGGGATATTAAACATGGCAACAGAAGCATAATCCACATAAGGAAAAACATAAACTGAACTTAAAGTTTAAAACTTTTGCTCTATCAAAAATGGTTAAGGGAATTAAAGGACAAACTACAGATGTGGAGAAAATATTTGC